GTTTAACCATCCATGATTGTCAACCCATCCACGATTTCACTCTGCTTTCGGGATGTATAAATAGCTAGAACTAGGCCGCCAGCACTCAAGGTAGGCCCAAGGTACTCGATCGGGATCATCTATAGCCTGCCAGCAGTTACAATGTATCCAAAATATGCCTGTGTGTACAGACGCCATCACAGGCATCGTGATGTGTGTGCGGGTGCGCTCGCCCTTTTAACACTCCCTCCCGTTACTTCATCGCGAAACACGTGCAGCGTGCAATACGGTTGGCCCGAAGCCAACCAGCATGTCCACCCTACCGCCAAACCTCTCTTGAGTTAGAAAAAGAGATATTCGCTAGGGATCCACATGCTCTCGCTACGTTGATGCGCAGTGTTTCACTAGACCTCACCTCGGCACCCAAGGAATCCACGTGCTGTCGCTACCGCCATGCACACCCTTCCACTACACCTGACCTTGGCCCGCAGGGAATCGACGTGCTATTGCTACTGTCACGTGCACACCACCTGTCACCAGCATCCAAGAACATGACACCTATGGAACCCTATATCTAACCTGTAGCCCGAGACGTTGTTGAGGTAGAAGCTGTCGACGGAGTCCTGGTGGTCTCTGTCGTCCCAGTCCAGCGGCGACGGTGGCATGTCCTCCAGGAGGTCGTCGATCTCGTCCGACAGCTCCGACATGTCGATGTCACCAACGAAGTCCGTCTCCACGAAGTCATCGAGCGGGCCTAGTTCACTCTGACATGTCGAACAGAAGGCGGATTCGTCCTCGTGTTGGCGTGTCAACGGGTTTGAAGGAGGCGAGGCAATCGGCGTTTTGGTTTGAACAAAAGGCGGGTTCGTTCCTGGGCTAATATGTGTGAAGGAGGGGGACGCACTCGGCATGTGGTTTGGGAGAGTGATACTTGATGACCGTCGAGGAGAAAGTGCCTCGGACGCCTGTGGTCATCTGGCGAATCCTGTTGAGTATTTTCGCTCTTTTTGTTGCCCATGGGTAGTCCATGAGGAATGCCCACGGGCAAGCCCATGGGTAGCCCGTGTGCAGCGCATGGGCAGCCCATGGGCAGCCCATAGGTGGCCGCTGAGTGCCCTTCAAACGGAACCAGTGTGCTCCTGAACAAGATATTATCTGCTTTGGAACAGGCATTACTACGGCTATTAACTTAATGCTAGCCCGAACCCTAACCCCAAGCCAACACGATACGTGCTAGGTGGACTCTGGCTAAGTTGTAGGTTGATATGCCGGTGGCGAGCTCTAGGTTGAAGTGCCCACGGTAGGTGCGCAGTTCATGGGCTGCCCATGGGCCTGGGTATCTCATGGGTAGCCCATGGGAGGTTCATGGGCTGCCCATGGGTGCCCCCCGATGGGCGGTTTAGCAAAACTGTCAGTAGGGTGGGTGATTGAGACTTTTCGCCCACTACCGCCATACGCCAGCAGAACGCTGAAGAGCCAAGGCACGCGGGCAGTGGGTGCCAAGAATCGCTCTGTGACCGGAATCTCGCCCTTGCAGTTGCGTTGGTGCAAGGTGACATTAGGCATCATTTTGAACAGGTAATGGGGGCCCTTAGAACATAAAGACCCCATGATCGCTATGATCTTGCTTCGACCACGCCTCGTAAGGACAACCACACACGAGCAACCGCTTAATTATCGGACGGGGGGGGCAGGGGGGCACAGAGAATGAGTGAATCCGTTGGGTCAGCACCGGTGCTGTGCCTCTGCGTTTCACAAATGGGTCGGCATTAATTGTCTTTTCGATAACGCCCCCCCCCCAAAACAAATGCCGCCGGTGGAGCACACAACCACTGAACTACATAGCCCCGGAAAATGTTGGACTCGTTGTTTCCCCCCCCACCACCTTGGAGTTAACCTCGAGGTGCTCTTCTTCAAGAAACAAATATAAGAGGTACCCATTGGGACGTTCACATCAAAATCGAAGCTAACGGCAAGATTCAGCAACTAGTTACTCTTACTCTTACTCTTTGCAACTGCGCGAAACCGGAAAGCACAAGAAACACCGCATGGTGATTTTTCGAACAACGAATAATCAGGCAGAGACGACAGGAAAATTAATGTAATATCGAACTCTCGAAGAAAACTTTGACAGTAGGTAGTGAACCCGTGTCGTACAACAACTGTTTGCAACACTTGTTTTGAGCTTGGTCAATTTCTCAATACAATACCAATTACTGCGTGCAACAACCTCCTGCTTCGAGCTTGTGCATGTGACGGTTACCTGGGCGTCTAGAACGGAGTCCTTGGGCTCGGCCAGGAGCGCGGAGTTATCCGTGATGAGGCTGCTCGCTTCCTTCAGAGTCGACGAGATGTTGAAGATCTGAACATTTCATCGAGAGTCGTGGGGGATCAATATTCTTGACGAACCGAGGACTTCACGGTGTGAGCGCAACGATGGCAATATCTTGCAATGAGATAAGGCCCAAGAGATGGTTGAAAACGAAGGGGATAATTTCCCGGGGTGTCTGTTGGTCTGTCGGTTGTGCTGCCTGTGGCAGCACGGCGACGACAACATAGACAACGAAAACAATTGAACCAAGTGATCAACCAGAACGATGATAATGACGGAATGACAACGGCTTCGACGACGACGACAACAACAACAACAACGACGACTACGACGGTCCCGATGACTACCATGACATAAACACCGACAACAACGGCAACATCGAAAGCAACAGCAACGGCAGCAGCGGCCAAACCAAAGACTACCTGTTGTATTTCCAAGATGTCGACGAAATTGTTCGAGTCCGTGGGCGTGTCACCGGCGTCGCCGGAACAGGTCAGGATCTTCTCGACCTTAGGGAAGTCGACGAGTATCTCGACGTCCTAGAAGAACAACATCGTCCAAGGGTGTCTTTATCAGCGGTAAGAAGACCGACCGGTAACGGCATCGAACAACACGTACCCATGCGTGGACCGTTGAAATTGTACATGCTCCCTACCATCCACTTGCCCCGGTTTGAAGTTCTCGAAATTGAAATTGTTCAACGCCAAATGCATTGGAAGGGTCGAGAACAAGATGCGAGAGAAAATACCTCATCGTCACGCTGTGAGGCAAATGCACCAAGCGTTCATTTGGTTCAAATGTGAAATGCGGAAAGTAGATATAGTCTCCCGATTCTGCACGTTGTGGTTGAATGCCCTTGCTCTTCTCGGCGGTGGTCGGTTTTCGGATGGCTTTCTCACCACGATGACGAGGTTCCGCGGGGGTGTTTGTGGGTGTTATATTTACTTGAGTGAACGTTTCGTTTCGAACTAGGCCCCTTTTTCACCTGGACCGTGGTGTTGAACTCGGGTAAGTTGGCTTCGATGAGTGCCATGTGGTGGTCGCACAGATCCCCGTTGATCTTGGACACCGCGAGAAAGACACCCGCCACTAAACAAAACAAGATCTGGGTCATGAAGACGAAGAACATGTTGAGGTACAGAGGCTATCGCGGATGGTTTCGCATCAGCCAGGGAGGCGGCGGCGATGGGACGAACAACCAGAGAGGCAGACGCACAAACAACGACAAGGGAGGGGGGAGGCGTACGGTTGGGAGGGGGTTCTTGTCATCAGCTTGTGGAGCTACAATAGGGAGTGACGGCTAGCAGGGCGCAGGAGCATCGGTGAGACATAGTAGTTTGCTTCATCCCAGGCCCGAGATTCACTACGCTGTGCGCACGGGAGTTACGACGGTTTTCATCGTCCACAGAGAAGGCTTCCAACGACAAGCGAAGAGGACGAAATGCGCCGGGGTGCAACATTTGCCGCCATATACCCCCGAGCTTGCCACCCGAAAGGTCGAAATAATTCGGCACTAAAACACTGACACCATTGCCGTACCTACTCAAGAATCGAATGCTGTACGCGCGATGCGTTCACAGTTAGTACCAGCGACGCCAGGTGAGGAGGTCTTCGTAACACGCACCGAACGTGCTAAGGAAGAAAATAAGCCGCAAACGGTGTACCGACATTACGCCTAAACCCACGATTCTAAGACAGTCTCACGCAGATTGTCTGGGCCGACGCAACAGGATTTCACACACCTTTGAAGATTGGCACACGCCCGAGCAGAGCGAAGTGAGGAACAGGATCACTCCAGGGAGGAAGATTATCCCCGCGACGGCTTGAACGGCCTGCATAGAGTTTTCCACGGAGGTGCAAATGTATATACGAGAAAGCCTCACCAAAAGCGCTTGTGCCGCCGGCATAGACGCACGCTCATTGCAACGAACATGATCATTTCTTGAAAATGTCTTTTTTTTCTTTTCGGCCTCATCTTTGGTGTGTGGGACGCCTCGATATCAGTAGATACAACTAGATTTTTTTATGAAAGACGGCTTCCCGCGAAAGCAGCGTGCAACAGGATGTTCCATGGTTGGACCTTCGGCCTTGTTAGAAAGGGATCAGAGCTGCCTGTAGCAAACTTCAACTGCCGCATGCCCCCCAAAACATCAAGCGCGTAACCCCCGCGAAACTGCAATTTGAAATTGGAACCTACCGTGAGCAGGCATGTCGGGCTCTGAACGTATTCGATATCGATGTTGCACGATGAAATATAATACAGAATTTTGGACCAGCAATTGGTGCGAGAGGTTAGGCGGAAACTACTGTAGACCGATGGATCAAGAGTGCGTGGGGATTCTCACAAAGTTTACTACTACTGCAGTAACCGTGACGGGTTAAAATCTCCACCTACAGCACCTCGGCGTTTTTGGCTGTCGATGTAACGTTTGTGGTAAAACGATGAACCGGCGCCTATTCAATCAGATGCGAGAGTCAGCTTTGGAAACCATGCTCGGTCCGACAAAGAACATTTGCTATCGAGTTTCACTAAAGTGTCGCCAAACAAACTCGCCTCATAGACTGCCACTGTCTCAAGCGAGAATGCTTCACTTTGCACTTTCATGCATTCCATCCACCACGCGGTTGGTGGTGGTCATCTCTTCGTTTTATTCCCGGTAGAAGAGGGCAGCGACTACATACCCTCAAACAAAATGCGTGTAGCATGCGGCATCGAACACGTCGTCTGGACGACCGTGTACTACCCTGCGAACTTTTTCGACAACAGGCTTTAGACTCCACTGTCTCGAGACCCAGCAAACTCTCCATTGCGTAACTTGTCATCATAATCTCAGGCTGCTACCCACTAGCCCTGATGCCAGACACTACATGGGCTATTCACTCACCTGGTCAAGGTACACCTCGATATTCTCGCGCACTTCAGGGATGTCGTCGTTCTGTACGTCATAGATGTCCACCGTCAGGTCCCTCATGGGCTGCAGAACACTGTGAAAATAGCGGGAGAGGCGGAGGGTTGACAGATGTTGCTGTCGCTGCTGCTCTTTCCTGTTAGAGTTCTTTTTATTGCTGTAATGAGTTTCGTGGTGTCCGCTGCCGTTTTTGTTCGTGTTGGTGTTGATACTTGAATTGGTGGGTGGAGGCCGTTTTCAACGTAACCATCGTATGTGTACTTGGTGGTTGCCGGTTTGTCGGGGCTCTAACCAACAACGCCAAAGCTCGAAGTATATTGCACGTCGGCGAGGGCAAGGACAACCCTGTCAAAAGTGACGTCCTCGAATGCGGAGTGCGGCCATGTGCCTGTTCTGAGCGGGTCTTCTCCCCAGACAGAGAATCAGAGAAATAACTGAAAAATCAACTGTCAGTACCTAAGTTGCTCCAATGTATGATGATATTATTATTTCGAGGCATGGATGTGTCTTGAGCACACACGATGAATCACACACGACCAACACATTTGTTCCTGAGCTTCGAAACATGCTGGGAGCGGTGAACGTGCCAAGAAAGAAAGAAAACCTTGCCTATTCTAGGCGAAACGTCTGCACTCACTCGTCGAGGACTGTGGTGAGGGTCGCGTTTCGAATGTCTTCGTCGCCGAGGATCTCGTTGCCGTGGACATCGTCCAGCTGGTACTTGATGCGCGTGATCGCTGACTCGTTACCCGTCAGCTGCCTGTCTCCCCAAGAAAAAGCCAATCACAAGAAGGCTGCGCGTTTGTTTGTGGATCTTGACCGGGTTCTTTCAAACCGCAAGGGTCTGAACTCCGGCCGATTTACGCAGTGCTGACATCAGATGGAGTACAGTGTGATGAAGACAACCGGGCATGCCTGCCAACTGTGCTAGGTATAACAGAGTGCGCAATGCCGCCTTTTCCCTCCGTGGATCGTTTCCGCTGCCACCAAACAACGATCTTGGCAAAGTTTGCGATACTGATTTCGCCGTGTTCTCAATACTTGTTTGAACGACGCTATGTTTGACGAAACTTGATTATACATTTCTTTTTCGGCTTCGGCAAGGGCACCAAGGTGGCAAATGTCAGAACCTGTGGTCCGCAACGAAACGGACTGCGTTCGCACCTGACACAACAACGGCGATGACAACGTCAACAACACTTCCCACGACTACCGCAACTGACACTATCGCTGCTGCATATAACCCACTCTGCGATCTCCAGGCTGGAGCTCTCTGTCAGCTCGGTCGCTTGTTCCAGCGCATCCCTCCCATCTTGAATGTCGTGCAGGACGTCACCGTCGATGTTGGCGATGGTTTCCCCGTCCATGAGTTCGGCAACGGGTCCGTCGCCGGTGATGATGGCGTTGACGCTGGTGATGGAGTTGTTGATGTTGATGACGGCCATCTCGGTGGTGTCGACAACGCCGGTCGCCGTCCCGAGGTTGGCTAAAGAACGTTGAGTTTTTCACACGGGTTTCGGGCGGAGGGGGTGAAATTCGCTTGCAAGTTCTAGCGTAAATCATCTGAAAACGAACAATTCATACGTCTTTGCCCGGAGACACGCACCATCATCACATTGGCACCAAGGTAAAGGTCAATTTCCATCACCAAAGCTGCGGGCGTGTGGTGGCTACAGTTTGCCTCCAAGAACCGAGATCGGACTATCACGCGGAGGCGAAAGCGGAGGCGGTGAGAGTGGCTGGGGAAAAAGCGGCTGCAACAGCAACGGCGAAAGCGGAGGCGGCGGCGGAGCAAGCGCCTGCTGAGCAAGCTGCGGAGGACTGTTTCCTGCTTTCCCGACCCGTTTCGTTGCTTCGGGAACGAGCGCCCTCGGGGGTGTTAATGCCATGTTCAAAGGTGGCCAAGTTAAGACGGAAGATGGTGAGGGGTATCATATTCACTATGAGTACCACGTTTAATGGAAGATGGTGGGGGTTGATTTGATTTTGTTTCGAGTCGTAATCAAGTCTGCCTTGATCCAGAGGAGGATCTGCTTGTCGGCCCTCAAGTTGTTAACGATCGCACACGTTCGAACTTTCAATATTGGAATAATTTGAACTATGTAGCATGAATAATGCACACAGAGATATAAACGCGACCCCTCTCCGTGGCAGAGTTGTTCTTGAGGCATCTCATGAGTAGTTTGGTGTGACCCGGGGAACGACAGGTACTGTCTGCGACCGGTGCTTCTCCATTGTCATTGGAGAGAACCGATTGGAAACAGCAACAACGTGGTAGAAACGATATTTCTTGACGGAGTCGGCATCGGGGCTCGAACGCCCGACACCTCAGAAGCCGACAACAGATATGAGGCCCCCTGTTATTTCCGTTTTTCTGGGCAGATTTTCGTTTCCAACTGAACGGAACAAGTACTGCATACGTGTCTCGCACACAGGGCATTGTATGGGTAAGACGCTTTGACCAGTACTCGGTCGATCCGCCCCGAGAGAAAGGACACTCGGAACGGTGATGCTCCAACGCAGCGCCCCACGGTCAACGTAGCTGGCGAGATGATGCACGTTTCGTGTCTCTCTCTCTCTCCCCGTCCTGAAACCGAGAAATATCGGCGAAAAATCGACCGACCGAAGAAGAGGAAAACACTCACCAGACACGACGAGCAGAGGTGCCGTCACCGCCGAAAGGCTCGAGATGAAGTCGACGACTCCCTCCAGCCGATCAATGAGGGCAACGGAGATTTCGAGCATGAAATCTCCGACGCTCCCATCGGCGCAGTCCTGCGTGTTGGCGACGGAGTACGAGTCTTCTTATAACGCTGCTGCGTGTGACGCTTCGGAATCCGCAAGGATTTATGGGTCTAAATCGCCCACGTTTTTGTGGACCAAAGGCGCCAAAGGGTCGTATGGAGATGAGACCCCGATGGAGAACCGATACAAGCAGGCAACATTTCCTCGTATGCATGTATCTCGTCTACATACTTTGTGTGTTCGTTGTGCTGAAGACGAGCAGCGGGAGCTGTCACGCAGAGTAGTAGATGGTGACGTTCAATACAAACAACAACACGTTCTCCCGTAGGGGCGGCAACGGCACGATACATCGATGGGCAAAGGGGACCAAAACGAGTACAAAAAAAAGAACAAGGAGAGGAAAAAGAGTTTGCAGTGAAGCAGCTTCAGAGTCAGCACTATCGCTATGTTTGTTTTTGCGGTTGTGGGAGGCACTATGCCAAGAAGACGCGCGGTGACGGGGCTTTTGGCCTTTTTTTTTTCGTGGCGACTCACCGCACTCCCGTTCTCCGCGCAGAGAGCCTCCTGCGCCCGCGTGAGAAGGACGTCCGTGCCGTCGAAGATCGAGCCGAAAGACGCTGTTGCAGCAAGCACGAGGTTTACACGAAGCACCACCACAATCAGTATCAGGTATATATCCTTCGATCAGGGTTATCAAGGGAGATCCCCACCGGTGGTGTTCAGCGGATTGGGAGGCGGAGGGAGAAAACAAGGGTGGAGAACGCGAAGAAACGAGAAAGCGTGGCTTTCGTGTTGCTTGCTAATAGGGTCTCGCATCCCGTCAACGAGTACCTGGAGACGTGGGGGCACTCAGCCTTTGCAATATCATATTTCGGGCATGTACCCCGCAACGGGGCAAACTCCCATGTGCATAGTGATGCGAGGAGGGTGGTGAAGCCTGATCGCAACAGCTACGATTGGTTACCTTTCGCCCCGCATTCATGAAGGAGCCCAAGCCCCAATTTGTTCTTACCCAACAAGGGGCGCAAGAAAAAAGAGGTTGATGCAACAGACCACCTACAAACGAGGTACTCGAGAAAATTAACAACTCTCCGGCGCAGAACATGGGTGTTGGACAATACACAACATGCGGGAATTTCTCCCCATTGTGTAGCTTCCGCCACGTGAGCATCCCTTTCTCTGCGAGATGGTAGTGTCCCCAGCCCGATACGGTGCGGATGGTGTTTCGCCTTTGGCATTGTCCGCTCCTCTGTCACCGTTCAACGTCGTCTAAGTGCCGTCGTGCCGACGAGTAGCTGCAGGAAAGCGCTCACAGAAAGGTATTACTACCTCTAGCACTTTTGTTCGATTATAGAGCGGAAACGATACTTGTGTGTTCAACATGTCGCGTTTTCTAGGGGTTCTTGTCCACCTCTTCTGCGATTTCCTGACAAAGCTGAGGCCTTCCGTGCTTCGCCTCGCTTTCATAACCAGGCGTTCCCGCCTCGCAGCAACCCCTTCCATCCACTAACAACGGTATCCATCCTTGGTATCGTAGGAACTCACAATCTGTGGTCTCGGCTCCGTTGTAAGCGTAGCCGGCGCAGAACAGATAGCCAAGGAAAATGATGAACGAGAACAGCCAGAGGATCTTGCGGTGTTTGGAGATGTTGTCCTCGTAGTCCTCGATCTCGTACATATCGTCCAACCCTTTCCCTGTGCATGCCGGTCGGTCCGGGAGTGTTTCTCGTTAGGTCGGCCGTACGTAATTGATTGTCGCTGTCGTTGTTGTTGTTGTTGTTGTTGTTGTTGTTGTTGTTGTTGTTGTTGCGTTTACAATTGTTCAGATGTAGAGTTCGTGCCCACGGGAAGCTAGATGCGAGAAGGGCAACTTGTTTCTCGATCTCGTACATGACACCCGGCATTTTCCCTAACTTGAAGCTTCCTTTGCTCGTGAATATATTTGTCGTGTTTCACATTGATCAGATTCCATTTTTCTGCCACCGGTAGAGGAGAGTTTAATCGCCGACTAGGCGTGAAACCGCGCAGAGAAAAAAAGGCCTCTGCGCTGTTCTTGCACGACTTTCTAGACAAGTCGCGACTCATTTCTCCTTGTCCATCGGCCGACCCACGTCTGCCTTTTCAGCCTCATAGAAACTGCGCCGGAACGAACTATCATGCACACACCTCCCATCAAGAAACACTCCATCCAACCCCCCCCCCACGGCGATTCTCACAGTCACGAAATAACTTACAATGAATTGCCTGCGCTTCTTACAGCTACGAAGCACGTACCGTCGTTGTCCCCCTCGGCCTCGGCGATGGCGAGGTCTGCGCGGTGAAGGCGCTTACACCGACAGCACATGGCGAGCATGCCGAGGAAGGCCAGGAGCCCGAAGAAGATGGACAGTCCTATCCCCAGCCCCGCCGTCGCGACGCCCACTTCCTGGCCGTAGTCTATGTAATCCTCTTGCTCTAGGTCTGCCGAAACAATGAGGGGGAAACGGTACAGCTTTCAAGGCAACACGCCCGGCGTATGCACTAGTACGATGGCGCAGTCATGTGTTTCGTTGTTCGTTTTCTAGGGCGTGGGTAAGTGCGTTGTCTGGGGTTGCGTGTCTGTGTGCGCTGGTGTGTGCTCTGGTCTGTCGGTCACAAAGTTCCACTTGATCGCAACAGCAGCAACAACAACAACAACAACAACAATGCGAACCCCGAAGCATCATTGCCACATAGGCTGGCATCGAACAGTCTCGTGCTACATCTCATAACATCTCTCTCACTCTCTGTGTGTCCCTCACCATCTGCTGGCGTGTCGAAGACGGAGCCTTTGGTTACCACCAACGTCATCGCCAGGGTAGGAAGACAAAGCATGGCAGCCCCGCGACGACCCACCAGGGGTCGTAGACGCATGGGTGCCATTCGCGTCTCCCCTCCCGAAACTGACTCCTGCGCTTCGGAAACATTGCAGACGACAAGGGAACACGTAGCTTGGAACACGGCAATCCTCGTTTGATAGGTTGAGAGTAATTGGCAGCTGCCACATAAACGGCAGAAAACCACACTTCGAGAATCACGAACGGCGGCAGACTTGACTGCGAAGGCAGAGCAAACGGCTTGTGTCGCGCCATGTCACGGCATCCCTACCTCCTCGCATTCCCTCGAGGCGTACAGGAGCCAGAAGAAGCGGATAAATCGGCCATTTGCTTTCCCTTTCGCAATTTAGGATACCATATCTGTGACGACTTTTGGTGGTTCCGGGGGGGGAAACCACTACTGTGCAAGCCCATTTTCTTCCTCTATGCGAGTCAATACCAACAAAACGTATTCGCAATCAGTGCTATCGAATTTCTCAAAAAGAACGGAGATCACAACACGATGGAAAAATCTCAAAGTCGTGAAGCGCCGTGGTACCCCGCGACGAACCTCGTGGAACCCGTGGGTAACCAGAGGGAACTGTAGGGAACGTTCCGGGTAAACCGTTGAAATACATCAAACGCGACAGCGCTGAACAGCTTCGAAACGTTTGCTATTCTCGGCACGTTTGAAGCACTTCATGTTCAACACAATCAATCCCAATATGTACCGTGAAGTATTGCGCCTCTAGTCTTAAAGTCTTCAGCTACCTAAGGCCCAACCTTCAGAAAAAGCTGCGCAGCCGATGAAGAGGATATTTAATGTCACACGTGGCTTGACGTGAATGACAAAAGTGTGCTAAAGATATGACGGGAACATCAGGCAAGACCTTGGCAAGGATCCTGTAGCTTGGCGTGCTTTGCTCCCCCTTCAGCCTCTAAGCCATGTAGTACGTGCTTGTTTCCGTTGGCTGGAGTCTTATTTTGCGTTGACAACAGGCACGTGTTTCACTTTATTTGCATGAATCAAAAAGCCTTTTTTTTGTGGGGTGGAGAAAGTACAGCATGACACATACAAGTACCTTCTATATTTCTATAGGCACCTACTACTATTCCCCTCAACTCGTTCAACAGCGCTTTCGGACAGCGAAATCTGGAGTGAGAGGACCCCCCCATGTAGCCTGCATATCTGGACCCGAGGGCTCCCAAAGGTTTCGAGAAGGTTTCTTGCCGCATACTCTCCTACAATAACTCCTACACAATTTGGAGTGCAAACTACGTATGCATACAAAATACCTTCTTCATCGTAGATTTCCAGTTTATTACATAGACTAAACGTTTACAACGAGGCTGAGGTCAGATTTTACTGCTACACACGCAGTGACTCCCTACAAGGCCCCCAGCGACAATTGCCAGTTGTTTACTGGGGTGGGATTGCTGCGGATATACGAAATTCCCACGCAGGTAACACGTGTGTTCCCGCCGACAGAGTTGATGGTACTTCCCCACAAGCACATTGGAAATAGTGTCTACTTTTCTTATGTTCTGTAGGAGGAGGTGCACATACAGTTCAGCAGGCCAGAGGCACGTGAGGCCGTAGCCGATCATTAATTCGTCGTTGTCGCACCACCCCCCCTGTAGACTCCCATGTCGAACACTGGTTTGAGGGATTCACCACGGTCTGAAGGAAAGTTGTTAAGAGTTTCGCTTTGCTTGTCGGACCTCGGACCATTGCATGCTGCAAATATGCGCACCTGCGAGTGGCTTGCGCTCTCCTCTTCTCGCCCGAAAAAAAAAAATTGGTTTCATTTCCACTTACCTCTGGTTCGTAGCGCAGTTGCTGACCGTCTTAGTGAACCTTGAAGCGGCAAATGGGTAAGCGTGAGCCCACGACCTCTTTGCCCGCGAAGCTGGAACCTTTTGTCGGCTGTTGACAAAGTACTTCTTGTAGGCGCAATGGAGCTCGGACGCAGGTACACCAACCAACAGGCGACACGGTGACAGTTTCGTTGCTGCTCAACGGGCTGTTCGATTCCTCCGCGTTTTTAGTTGCTCCGCACGCCGAACTCGGCACGGCGCACGTGCGCACTGCGCACGTGACCGCATTCCCCCAACGCTTTCGATGGATCTCCCATCTGAGAGTTAAACTAGCAGCTGAGAATACGATGTTTTGATTCCTTGCTTGTTTTAGGACGTGTATTTCCTCTCTACCCAACATTCCCAAACGAGATTTGGACGAATACATATTGCGACTACCAACCAGGGTAGGCTGGCTCCACACGCACGCATTTTTTAAGTTGGTCCCGGCCTCCCAAAACCTGCACCCTTGGCCGCAGCTCACTTGATGTGCAACAAAGGACATGTCCCGCCAAGACGCTGTTCTTAGGCCCTGACACGCCCATGTACGGTCGCTTGGTGCAACCCTGATTCTACAACGCACTTTTCAGCTACATGTAGACATACATGTACGTACCACTGCTGTTGTCGACCGTGCATGATCTATTTGCCAGACTACTAGTACAACGCGACAGTTGCTTAAAGGTACTATCAGACTAAACCTCTCCGTGCCATGCGTCGTGTATATACGCAGGATTTTCTATGTAAGGAAATTTATCCTAATTTATGAAGTGTACATAGAATCGGCTAAGTTGGGGTTTGGGTTAGGGTAAGTAGGGCTAGGGTCACAGAATCAGCGCTGCAGGGCGGTGCCACTGCCACCTTGTTTCATCCGAAGCAGGCTCTTCAGCTACTCGATTTGCATAGATACAAAGATAGATCAACCAACAGGCATAGTCGGAAGGGCAATCTGCTACATGTACGGCTGAGCCGGAGGCGTTCGTCGATACACGTCGTGTATGGATAGACTATATCCCCAATCCAACTGTACGCGCTGCAGCGTTGCATGAATATTCGAGAAAGATGCTGCGCGTGGCCCTAATGCCAAGTTTCAGCACGCATGTACGAACGCGAGGAGTAAGATGTGCGACAAGACGTTAGTGCGGTTTGGCGATGGTGAGGCGCAGAGGTGTGAGCTTTTGCCTTGGGGAGGCCTATTGACGGTAGTCAACTTTATTCTCTGCATGCTTGTGGTCCTCATGAATGAGCTTTTTTATGGGACAGGGAGAGAGCACGTGCGCCTGCCGAAGAACTCATTTAGAGATGGGTGACGCGGCGTAGCAGTCATTGACCCTTGGTTTCGTTTCTCGAGAAATTTCTCGAGAAACACGGTCAGGGTCCTCCCAACACCCACCCGCCGTTGTCGGGTGCTTGTCTCTTCACGGCCGCTGAAGATTTAGAGTAGCGCAACTTACTCCGAAATCGAAAAGTGGGAAAACAAGTTCGGCAGCAGAGTGGATGTAAGCGCTGGTGGGCATGAGTGAAAACCATATGTCGGCAGCGTTAGAGAGGACAGACGGTGACGAATGGGCTCGCGGGGTTTCGTGAAAAAGGGGGCAAGAAGAACAGGATATCATTCGCCAACACGAACCGCGAAACACGGATCATGCTGCTTGGGGTTGGCTCAGCCTGCCAGTCCAGTCATCGAATCGACGAATGTATCGTCGGTTTTTCAGGAACCGATTGATTTTCCCACACGCAGGTCAACAGCACAGCAGTGGATCGCGAGTGTCCAGCGCTTCGTGTGTTGTCAAAACACTCAACCCCAAAACGGTACATCTGGTACCGCTGCACCTGTGGTATGCAATTCATCGTTTCACAAGAAAGGCAATATGAAGAGGAAGACCGAATGAATCTCACTGATTTCTTCCATCAGACCGTAACATATTCAAACTCTCTTAAAGCAAAGTGTGCTGTGCACGACCGGAAATTTTCATTCCCCTCCCCACCCCGCCTCCTCGCCCCAGGCTCAAATCTTCTTCGCAAGATCAGCAACCAATGAAATGCTGTACTCATGTTCATTGTGGGGATACCCGAGAACGCTATCGTTCCGGTGTTCTTCGCTCTAGAAAGCCCGGAGCACAGCCATTCGCGGACCGCTCACCCATTTCGGCGCGGCCTGCTCCGCACGAGTCTCAAATCACGTTGTCTGCCGCAGCAGTTTTTCCCGTGTCACTCAAACATTACCGCTACCCACGCACGTCCGCTGCTAGGTTCACCCCACCAAGCGCGCCTGCCGCCAAACTCCACAGAAGAGTTACGCCGACACGCGTCCGAGGAAAAGCGCTCCCGAACGTAGAAGTAACGGGCCCAACAGCGTCCGGCATTTGTCAAGCTCTGATGGAGACAAACACGTCACCGTTTCCGGTGCGCCCCACCCTGAGGTCCTCGTCGACATACGTGCTCTCGAAGTAAGGAGTCCTCAGCGAAGAGGCGAGAGGGGACGACTCCTCACCATCCCCGGGGGCAGGGGACGCCTTCTCATCATCCCCGGGGGCAGGGGACGCCTCCTCCTTGTCGCTCTGCTCCTCCGCCTCCGGCGTTGCGTCTGCGGCTTCGGCCACATCATCCCCGTCACCCGACGAGTTACCCTCGCCGTCGTCCTTCTTCTTCTCATCGCCGTCCACGGCGTTGTCGGACTTTTTCTTCTTGCCCTTGAGCTTCTCTGCCAGCTGCCTGGCCTTCGTCTTGGCGCCCTCGACCTTCTCCTTCAAGGCCTTCCCGCCGCCGCTGCTGCCGCCTCCTTTGGGAATCAGCTTCTCGAGCCTCTCGGCGGAAGGGATGTCGACGCCGAGAGTCGGCAGGTCGAGCTCTCTCCCGAAGAGGGAGTTCGCCTGTTCCAAGACAGGCGGTTGTACACATGCCCGACATAAATTTAGTCCCACGAAAAACAAACATGGGAGAGGGGACAGCAGCGAGGGAGGTGAGGCCTTCATCATTGGCAATACTGCCAGGATGGCGGCACGGGGAGTAGAATCCAGCAACGGAGTTGTGAGCAAGGACGGGATTCTTCTTTCGAAGGCGACGCCCACCTTTCGACAATCGTCCCCCCCCGCCCGACAACAAGGATTAAGGCTGGTTGCTGGTGTCAAACAAACCACGCCGACTAACAGTGCTCGGGGAAACTAGCACAAACCTCCCGAGCTCCACGGTCAACCGTACGCGCAGCTGTCGACACGTGGGCGTCCGTACAGTGGAACTCCTACCGTCTCCACCGGGTACACGACCACCTGCTGCGCTATCAACACCAACACAAAACCGTGTATCCGCCCCTTCTGGCACTTGGTAGCGCATATTACCAACACCCTTTTGGGGCTATTCTCTCTGCCCTGTATCCTTACTGGGCAAGCTTTTGGCATGCGAGTCTCATCATGTGGATCCGTATGGTGTATGGAGGGTCGGGGATGCAAACAGCTAAATGACCATGACGGCATCATCACTACCACCACCAACAACAGTGAACCTCCTGTTACCTTGATCTCAGTCCTGACGAACTTGAGGTTGATGCGGGAGTCGGAAACCGGCTCTGTTTCAAGTTTCACCTGCATGACCGGACAGCCGTGACAGAAAAACACAACGGAATCAGCAATGGCTCTCTCTACAGTGTACTGTTTCATTGTCAAAATATCAAGCGAGTGATTTTCTCCTAGCAGCTGCCACGCCTACCCAAGCAAACGCTCCTTTCTGCGGGGAATGCAAACACGATTCCGAAAGCACAGCGTAACTCCGCCCCGGTGAAGCGATATGCTGGACCCTACAAAACCGGTAGCTCTCTTCGTACGCCAATGGCTTCCAGAACCTATCATGCTCTGTCGTAGAAAGCACGCACTAGCGGGCAGCCTAATTGCTCCACACCGGGCCCCAATCCTACACTGAACACTCCAAGTCACAGGCGCTCCACGCTGTATCGTCCCACGATTCCTTTGTCGGCTACCACCAGCAACCACCGGTGTATTTTTCTGGCCCACGCGCAGAATAAACGATAACAGCGCGAAAGCCCTTGCTGCCAGGGCTCCTATTTTTGAAAAATATCAAGCAAACCACTCCCCTCCAAGATGATGATGCTCTAATGTAAGAAGGGATCGTTGTTGTGGGTGGCCGTCGTGGTTGTTGCTGTTGTTGCCTTCACATCTATGACCGACCCGGTCTCCGCTCAGTACCTCCTAATATCCGTGTACTACTGGTCCAACTGACGCGGACGCCTTCCGTGGTCACAAGCCAGCCACACCCCAACAAAGGAGTACACCTTTCTAGAACGAAAAAAATGCGCAAAAAACAATCGTAGTTCTTGCCGTGAGGGTGGTCATGGAGCTCCCGAGGATCTTGTTCACCGCGGCGAAGGGAGGCTGCAGCTCGATGATGTTCTGAATGGACCGTCCGTCGGACTCGATCTGCTGGAAGATCTTCCCCACTGTAACCGCCGGGTTGATCTGTAGGGAGAGCACGTCCAGGGAGGTCGTGTACAGAAGCCTGGGGGGGGGCAGGCGGACAGCAGTGTGTGTGGGGGGTGCTAATGTAAATCGCGTGGCGTAGTCGGTAGACTGTTGACCTCGCATCCCTGCAATGCATCCCTGCAATGCGGGGACGGAGTGATATGCCGGGTTTTCGCCGGCCATGGCTACGTTTCACAAAGAAAGATAGCCAGAAGCTGGTCATCATCCTTGGGTTTACCTTGCCAATCCAGATAGGCCATGGGTTGATTGGGGAGTACTGTGTGTGGGGGGGTGTACTCATAGTCATGCATGCCGTAGTCGTTAGACCATTGACCTCGCATCCCTACAAGACCGGGACGGAGCACGCCGGGTTCTCACCGGACCAGTGTGTATGTGTGTGGGGGATCAACTAATACTGTCGTTTCGTCTCATGCCCGTATTAGAGTAGTTGTCGTTCGGATGACGATGGCCAACACGCCGCCACCACCTTGTGCCACGCCACGCCAAAACCTGCCAGACCAGCTATCGGAGGGTGCGAAAACAAGCACCCTTGGCTCTGCTGTGCCGTCGATGGAGAACCAGGGCCCGGGAGAGAGACTCGAGGGACGTGCGGTGGTGACGCATGGGTTGCCGTATGCGGCGATGTTTACGACAACAACGGCAACGACGACAACAACAACAACAACAGCAACAACAACACCACCGCCACCACCACCACCAACAAAAACATAAACAACAACAACAACAGCAACTCACTGCCATCGTCCGGCGAGAGGAGACGACCCCGTCTCGAACCCCTCGCAAGACTTGGGGTTAGGGTTCTCCATCTCCAGCATCTCGATTATCTCCTCCACGTCTAGCCGGTCCAACTCCTCGGCAACGAAGCCCCTGTTGAGGGTGGCGACTGCTCCGTGCGAACCACAAAATCGGAATAGATGGGGCAGGGGGGGGAGGAGGGAGAAACAGGGACAGACGGAGAGAAACAGAGGAAGAGAGAGAGAGAGAGAGAGAGAGAGAGAGAGTGAGAGGCAAAGAGAGGGAGGCAGAGGGAGGGATAAAGAGAGAGAGACTTTGAGATTTTTCCCTGAGTGTGTGGTCGCCAAGAAGCGGCGGTCGAGAGAGGCATTGCCGCCTGATTCCAATCGTTCCATGCTTCGAGCTTGTTTCCGAAACTAATCCGAAATAGACGACTTCAAGACCCTTGTGTTCCAAGCGCTCCTCAGACCAATGACGCCAAAGAGCCGCACCCCCGCCGGCAACAATAAACGAGCAAGTCGCCTCTCGCCATGGTAACACCCCCCTCAAAAAGAAAACAACAAAACCCCCGAGCCGATACGTACCTTTTCGAAGGAGCTTTTGCTTCAGCGCAGCCCGTGTGGCCGCGTCCCCCACCGCGTCTTCACCCCCGCCTTCTCCAGCACCGCCCCCTGCTGCCGCTGGGTCCGAGAGCTCGGCATCCACGGGAACGGCGGCGGGTCCCGGCCCCGATTCTCCGTCGCCGCTGGTCATCAACAGGGGTCCGACGCCTCTGCTCGGCAACGCCACCATCGCCTGGCTGCGTGTCGGGTCCAGCATCGAGGGGGACGACGACGCTGCGTACGGCGTTCTCCTCCTCCTGCGGCGCACTGTTCGCTGTTGGGACGTTGCTCCGATGGGTGTTGTGGGCGTCCCCGCGGCGGCGGCGGTCGGTGATGCCAGGCGGTGGTTTATTGCCAGGGATCCAGGCGTCACGAACGCTGTTCGCAGGGGGTGTTAGGCAAGGAGACCCCGTCATGAGTAGGTTACGGCGTGGGGGGGGTGTACTCATAGTCGTGCATGCCGTAGTCGTTTGACCATTGACCTCGCATCCCTACAAAGCCGGGACGGAGCACGCCGGGTTCTCACCGGACCAGGCTCTCACATCACCAAGCGCGAAGCGCCGTGAGGTATTTGGCGAGTCGCATGAAGGGTGAGCTGCATCCTGCTAAGGGTGTTCGCCTTTTTGTGCTTACTCCCTTGCGTCCGGATGACAGCTACGTATGACTTAATTTTTTTTCTGGGGCTTTCACTTCCAGAGACAGTTGTAAGCACTGTGTAACTCCCTGGGGGGGGGGGGGGTACTCATAGTCGTGCATGCATGCTGTAGAAAAAAGCTAGGGGGTGGGTGCGAGTGTTTCAAGTACGCTTTTCACAGCAGTGAACGCACGTACGCACGCAAAAAAAAGATGGGGGGAGCTGATGCGTTCCCTTCGTTGTTTGTAGGCAATGATCCGGGACCAGCACAACTTTGGGTATTTTATCTCGTCGATGTTGGTGGCGGGAAAGATAGCTTGGCCGAATGCTCATAGCCGTAGTCGTTAGACCGTTGACCTCGCATCTAACCATTAGACTAGTTAGCGCTGACTAGTCTAACGGTAAACCAGCTGAGTGATTTCGGCTTCTATACAAGTTGGTCGTGGGTTCGAGACCCAGGCTGGACACTTTGAAGTGTTTTTTTCCCCTAGACCCTGGATACTCTCGGCCAGAGTATGGGTGACGGAAGGATTCGTGGACCCTGGAACATTCTGCAGGATGTGGGTGGCGAGTGATTCGAAGCGAAACAAAGATTGGACGGATAGAGCGCTGGCAAGGGGAGTCACCCTCCTCGGAAGTGAAAGTGGCGGGGCTCACGAACCCCCCGACGAACTTTTATAGAAGCCGTAATCAAACCACAAGACAAGTCAGCGCTGACTAGTCTAATGGTTTGATTTCGGCTTCTTATACATCCCTACAAAGCCGGGACGGAACACGCCGGGTTTTATCACCGGACCAGTTAGGGGGGGGGGGGTACAGTACTCATAGTCGTGCATGCCGTAGTCGTTTGACCATTGACCTCGCATCCCTACAAAGCAGGGACGGAGCACGCCGGTTTGGTTCTCACCGGATCAATTAGGGGGGGGAGGGACCGCCTGCAGTAGCCCTCGCGAGGATAGTGAGCTTGGTTTTACTAGGGAGTACGGTGTGGGTTAGGGTTAGATATAGGGATACGAACCCCCCCCTCTCTATTTGGTAGATTGATGGTAATAATAACACCCTCGCGAAGGCGGTCCATCGGCGAAGGGGGGCGGCGAACACTTCATTTCGGCTGGGGTTTCAAGAGAGCAGCAGCTTGTTTGGTGTCGGTGTGTGTGCGGCTTCAAGAACAGAGTATTTACTGTTCCGCTAGATAGCATGGTGTGCGTGTGCCTAATCTCGTGTTGGTGCTGTAAGCATTCGCAGGCGTACCGACAACGAAGCACAACAAGAATGCTTCAGTGGGATGGTGTAGCTTCGATGTTCCCTCTCGAGCAGCGCTAGGCGCAAGCAGGCAACGATTCTGATGTGTTCGAAAACGGTGAATAAATTCAACAGGGGCAATTACCACCCCTTTCCACTACTGTTTGATCCTCATACCGCCGGAATGTGAGCCAAACCACTTTGGTAGGTCATCATGAGAGCGACCCTGGTTTCGACTTGAACACAATACAGCAGAGGCTATGTAGGCGAAACAAATGCAGTACACAGAGTACGCAGAGCACACCCAGCTGTCCGACCGTGGGCTAAAACCACTGCGAGTCATCTCAACGGGACACTGGTTTCGACTTGGACACAATATATAGCCAGGGGGACGAAGAAAGGTGTATTAGTTGAACCTACGCACGCACAGCGATGACTCCGCTCTGTCAGGAACAGCTTTAGTTTGTGGTCTAGGCGACTGGCGCTGCGTTGCGTCAGAACCGTCAAAGTGGTACACACCTGTTCACCAAGAGCAAAGGCGGCACAGCCGCCATCCATGCAATTCATGGCATACAGCATACAAGATGGTGTCAGGCAGAACTCGCCATGTAGGTTCTGCTTCCACAGCTGACTCTGCGTGTAGACTATTCCGCGGGCCATGGCTGTTCAGCGGGCCACACGGTCAGCACCCGATTGTTCCGCGTGAGCCGAGTATCAGGTGGTCGAAAAAATGAGACTTCACAACAAAGCGTACTACTGTATGTACAACCCGTGCTCCCCATCTTATTTCGCGGGGGCAGTCCGCTGTGCCCGAAGGGGGCAGCGGCACACACCAGAGACAGAGACGGCAGATCTTGCAACGTATGCATCCCCAACTGCCGCTGTTGCTCTCGACAGGGGAACAAACAAGCCGATACGAAACCTCACCGCATGTTCCTCCAAGGTATAGCAGGACGCACCCCCCTACCAAGCCCTTTCCCGCTGAGATAGTCATGACGGTACGCGTTGTCGGATGTCTTCGTCGAAAGGTAAGTGGAGTTGTGATCAATGGCGGCGTTGAGGAGGCCTTGTTGTCGAGATGGATGACAAGCCCGTAGAAAAGCCAGCGCAGAGCCAACCGAGATGACGTCATGATCTGGTTCAGCGGAGAAGTGGTTTTTATAAAGATATTGGCATGCATGCCACAAGAGGAGCTCTGCGCGCGCTCACGCTCTCTCTCCTGCTGCTCTGCAATCTGCAATCACCACGCTGGGCACCTGTGAGAGCTAGAGGCAGGGTGCACCGGACGTCATCCTCAAGGTGTAGGTGGGGGTGTTGGGGGAATCACTTGCAGAAATCATCTTGTTTTGTCGGGAGGGTTTGCTTGAGCTTTTCCAGCATGTACAGGCGACGACGTTCCTGCCGCACACACTGCTGTTATGGATACCACACCTTTTAGGTGTCGGAGAGAGAGAGAGAGAGAGAGAGAGAGAGAGAGAGAGAGAGAGAGAGAGAGAGAGAGAGAGAGAGTGAGGTGCATGCAAGAGGGCGTCCAGCAGGTTATGTGTGCGTGTGTGTGTGGCCTGAGGGGGACGAGTGACGGGAAAAGGCACCAGCGATCAGAGTTTCCGGTTTTGGTAAATGTCCCCCCTGCTCGAGAAGAGGCAGAAACACCGCTCGCTGCTGCTGCCGCTGCCTTTAGTTTACAGTCTCGTCGTGACTGAACCACGGGCGGACAACACTTCTGTACCTATATCTTTTGGAGGCAGCGTTCGAGCCCAATGCTGCAGCTACAGCGGTGCTAGACTGGTGTACGGGCCCTCTCTCTGTGTCCGTACATGCTCTGTTTATATTTTCTAGGTCAAATCGTCAGTTGGACCAGTAGGATATTGGGGTACTGAGCGGAGACCGGAACGGTTATGGGACAATCGAGCTTTACCGTACACACATCTCCAAAATCATGGCCAGACGAGCACTGCTGCAAGCACTCCCTGCCGGTCAACACACTTTCACAAGCTTGAATAATATTACATGCATCGCGAAGGCACAGCACATGAGCACTCTCCATGTGCTTTACGCGGGGGGGGGGTGGACCTTACCGCCTAATGAACCCCCACCGAGGTGTGCGGTCACCTCGCCATCTGTTCCACAAAAAGTCC